CACATATAATGGCTTTCACACTGCATGATACTATTAAATAACCATCATTAGCTACTAAAGTATGTACCGCCCATTTTCCAGAGCCTTTTCTCTGCCAAGAAATTTAAGACCAAGAATGATCAATGAAGGAATCATCAGCATGGTAATTGTTGATATAAGGACGTGCAAATTGAAATTGTTCAGAATGATTTAAATGTGTAAGAAATTGTTACGGATGATGATATTACGCAGATATTAAAGCTTTCCTTGCAAGAGGCCGAAAGTGCATTTCTTTGTATCTACATCTTACCGGTTGGAACAAAAGGAAGATATTATCTACGGCATACCTCAGAAAAATCAAACAAGGAGGTGTTAGGCAATTTTCCAGGTACTGTGCTGGGTGCCGGGAATATAAAGATAAGTAAAATATAGCCACTGTTCTCAGCAAGCTTATAGATTTAGAAGGGAGGAGAGATTAAGTACACAAAGAAATCACAGCACAGTGTGATAAATACGGTAATCCAAGTGTGCACCTGGTACCTGATAGCACAGGGGAGTGTAGCTTGTAGAGCTGAGATGAGGAAGAAAAACAGTTCACTTAAGAATCTGCAACTTCCTAAATTAGGACTTTTCCTTCTTCCCTTCTTGCAAGCCATCATCTTTCTTCTCTCGTATCTAGAAATGTTCAAATCACAGAAGCATAGAAAAGATAGTAACCAAAGAAGGAGAGACTGCGGGACAGTTTACTTTCACAGGGGAAACAAGCCTATCCTAAGCTTTTTCAGGCTCTAGATATGTGAATTAAAAAAAAAAAAAGTTTTTAAACTCCACAAAGACTGTGGAGTTCTGCCTTCTCTTAGGCCGTGTTCCTTACACATTACAACAATGCCATGCCTACATTAGTGTTCCTGTTTCATCAAGAGACATTAAATTAAGGTCTGAGAGGAAGGCAGATTCCTAACTGGGCTCCTGTTCCTAATATAATTTAAAAACAGCTGCACCCTTGATCTCATACTGTTTAGGTCAGAAATGCTGCCTTTTGCTTGATTGTTTTTGTTTGTTTATGGATTAGTTCACAGATACAATGTTAAGAAATACATGACTGAAAAGATTCCATGTAACACTGCATGGCTCACACCCATCTCGATGGCTCTTTTTTTATTGAAGTAAAGTTCACATGGCATAAAAAATCATCATTTTAACCATTTTCAAAATGCACAATTCAGTGGCTTTTAGTACATTCACAGTGTTGTGCAACCACCACCATTACCTAGCTCCAGAACATTTCCATAACCCAAAAAAGAAACTCCACAGCCATTAAGCAGTCATTCGCCATCCCTTCTCCCCTCAGCTCCTGCCAACCTCTGGTCTGCTTTGTCTCTATGGATTTGCCTGTTCTGGACATCTCAGATAAATGGAATCACGAAATACACGACTTTTTCTGTTTTGCTTCCTTCACTTTGCCTAATGTTTTCAAGGCTCATGTGTGGGTACTTCATTCCTCTCTATGGATAAATAATCTCTTGTGAGGATACACCACACTTTGTTTATCCATTCATCAGTTGACGGATATTTGGGTTTGGCTTTTTGGCTATTATGAATGATGTTGCTATGAGCATGTTTGTTCAAACACCTATTTTCAGTTTTGGTGGGGCAAATACCTAGGGGCAGCACGTTGCTTGGTCATATGGAATTCTGTTTAACTTTTTGAACAATCATTAAACATTCTAAAGCTGCTGCATCATTTTTTATTCCCATCGGCAACATATAAGGGTTCCAATTTCTCCATATGCTGGCCAACATTTGTTTGTTTGTTTTTTAATTTTATGTATTTATTTGACAGAGAGAGACAGCAAGAGAGGGAACACAAGCAGGGGGAGTG